CATGTGTATGCTCTTTTGTCCTTTTCTGTTTTTTTTTTAATCTTTTGGTCAGTTGTAAAACTCAGCAACAGTCCTTAATGAAATGTGATTTGGTTATCAACTTATGTTTAGTTTTTTTGTCTTCTATAAATCAACTTTGCAATTTAGTGATCCCTATTAATTAAATGGAAATTAGCAAAATGCAAACTTGTTTTGGAAAAATGACCAATAGAGAGTGTCACTCCCCTAAATTGTTTACCAATGACTTAGAGGATACACTCAGTTATTATTCTCAAAAACAGCTCAAATAGAAAAATGATACACTGTAGGTTATGCAGACATAATTGTTATTCCAATATAAATACAACAAATTCACAACAGAAAAAAGTACAAAGAGGCAAATAGATTTGAAAATAACACAAAAATGTATAACAATATGATTTACAGTGAAAAGATAGATTTGTGTCCAACAACTCCCTTCTTCACATTGACTTCATACTAGTATATAAGCTTCACTTCTTTGCCTTGTACATTTCATCAATCTCTTTCTGCATAAACAAGAACAGAGGTTAAAGATATAATCAGATTCAACAAACCCCTAAAACATCATGAAAGCCAAGGAGATAATCTAAGGTTGTACTATTATGTAGCCAATGTGATAATAAAGTGACTTTGAATTTACCTGATAGTACTTGAGAAGCTGAGGTCTTTTCTTCTTGTAAGAAGGTGTAATAAGATCTCTATCCATGTCGAATGGGACTGTGTCCAAGTGAACACCTTTGATTAGCTCAAATCCCTTAAGCTTTTTGTCTTTGGCTACTCTGTTGAATTCTCCAAGGATAAACTCTTTGGTCTTTTGGTTTTGACAGATAGACTCAAAGTCTCCTGAAACTTTGTTGTCTTTAGCCCAATGTTCGATCTGTATCTTGCTTGGACACACCACAGCCACTAAGTAAGACTCAAAGCTGTTTCCATATACCCATATCTGCAAAAAAGTTTCAGACATCAGTTTCTATAAAACCGATAAAACAAATACAAAAAATACCGTAAACCGGATTGCTCAATACCGCTTCAATGGCAGCTACATGGCTATAAATGTTCTCCAAGTTCTCAACCGCAACGTATTCTCCTTGGGAAAGTTTAAAGATGTTCTTCTTACGGTCAATGATTTTCATGGCTCCATCTGGTTGCCATTCACCAACATCACCGGTGTGAAGCCAGCCATCAATGAGTACTTCTTGAGTTAGATCTTCACGTTTGTAATAACCAGAGAACAAAGTCTTTCCTCTGATGCAAATCTCTCCACGTGGATTGCTTCCAAGAGCGTCGTAACCCATCTCCGGAACTGACTCTAGCCTTATGTCAACGTTTGGAACCGGTGGACCAACCGTTCCAATCATTTTAAGCTCATTTGGGATAGACACAAATGTACCACCACAACTCTCAGTTAGACCTGTAAGAAGTCATTATTAGGATCAAGGTTTTCTTGATGTGGTTTAAACTTGAAGTAACATTCTTTGGTCATTGATATTACCGTATCCTTGTAGAACATGAGCACAAGCGACAACTCGAAGGAAAGATTCGATGTGAGCTGCAAGAGGAGCTGCTCCTGAGAGGATCAAACGCACTCTTCCTCCTAATCCTTCTTTTACCTGAAATAGTTTTTGATGTTTTCAAGATTTGGTTTTCTTTAAGCAATCGAAAAAGATCAAGATCGAGAGAGAGAGCATTGATCCGTTATTCACCTTTTTAAATACAATTTTGTCAGAGATTGTAGATGCTTGCTCATGAGGCTCCCCTTTCTCCATGTTACTTTTTTTGCTGAATAAAAGAATCAAAAGGTTTCAGAAACAGAGATTATAATCTAAAACTTTGGTTTTTGATCTAATACTAGTACACTTACTAGTTGAATGCAAAGTTGAATAATGTCTTCTTTATGAAACCACCATCAGAAAGTTTCTGTTGAAGACCTGAAAAATGACATTAAGAAGAGTTAGTTTATTTAAGCTCTTAAAACTAGTATTGCAAAGTATATATTTACCGGCGTATATTCTCTCTAGCACTCGAGGAACAGCGCAGAAAATAGTCGGTTTCAAAGCAGAAATGTCCTCAACCAAAGTCTTAATATCCTGAAGAAACAAAGATTATGATGAATACATTATAAGTCTCCACTGTGAAACAGATTTTCTATAAACAAAAGAAACAGATCATATAACAAACTTACCCCTCTCCAAAATCCTATAGAGGCTGCTTCATAAATAAACAGCTCTTCAATCACGCGATCGAAGATATGAGCCAGAGGTAGATATGAGAGATATACATCTTTACTTGTACACTGTAACAACATTAGTCACAAAATGAAACAAAGAAGCAATTATTACAATGATCTAATCTTTGATATTATATTGAAGTACTGATGATATGAACAACAATAAGTTACCTCTTCATTGATAGTTTTAAGCAGTTTTTTAACACCTTCAAGTAAATAAATAATGCTCTCATTTGTAAGCAAGACTCCTTTAGGATCACCAGTTGTTCCACTTGTATACATTATGGTACAAACATCGCTTCGTTTCTTCTCTGGTAAATCATAATGTTTACCTTCACCCTGCAAGTAATTAACAGTAACACATAAACATTTCAGAATTCTGATTATTATGATACAAAAGTAGAATAAGAATACGATTATAATTCACTCTTACTAGTTTCAAGAATTGGTCCCATGAATATATTGTTAATCCATGCCTCTCAGCTTCTGCTCTTTGCTCATCTGTAACCTCACCAAAGCTCACAATATCTGTTCCAAAAATAAATAAATAAATAAATTTAGGAATTGTTTCATTCACTGGACTTTGATTGAACAATCAAACACAAGAAATTGTTACTTACTCTTCATATATTTTGTTGAATTCGGAGCTGTCTTCAATAACTGAAACATCAAAAAGAAAATGTTTTCTTATTTACTCAGGACTGAAGCTTATTTATTGAGTGTGTGATAAGAAAATTACCTCAGAAATCTTTTTCTCCTCTGAAAAAGCAAGTGATACCTCAGCATGACAAATAATGAATTCAATTGCTCCAGCACCTACCAAAAATGCATCATCCAAACCATTATACATACATACGTAAACTTGATTGTATCGCAAAACTTCATCGAAAATTATCAATGCCGCCTAAAATTTTAAAGGTCCTCCATAAAATAGAGAATTGTTACATACCAAGAGTGTCATATAGAGGTACACAGTAGAGTCCATGAGCATTACAGGCCTGAATCAACAGAAAGTCATTTTTGTAACTAAAAAAGACCACATAAATAATCTTTGCTAATTACAAACTATAGATTATAAATGTCAATCAATAATACCTCCATGCTTATAATCCATTCAGGGCTGTTGGCGCCATAAATACCACATTTCTCTCCCTGGGTACCACAAATCATTTTAATAATAAATAAGACGTTGTTGAAATTTTTTTAAATGCATCACTATAAATGGTTTAAATTAAAAAAACCCAATATAAAATGATTTCTTAAAAAAAAA